CGGGCGGGCGGGCAAATGGCCCAATTTTGCGCTATTCGCGCGGGCGTGGCCGTCCGGCTGTCCATCTCTCGGAGTTTCCTCCCGGATCTTCAAAGAGTTCATGCAAAGTCTGAAGATTTGGGTTTAATTATTGGGCGTCACGAGTTTTCACGTGACCGCTGATCCTGAAATATTTGCTTTTTCTGATAGGAAAATCCAAATAGTCTGACATATCTATTGGTTTGTATTTGCCATAGTATGCAGCTTAACTCAAAACCCATTGCAAAACTCTAGATTCTGAAAACCTAACATTTTTTTAAAAACACCTGCCCTATTTTTCCACCAAAAGCGAAAAAACTTGCGTCGGCCGGGAATCGAACCCGGGTCGCCCGCGTGGCAGGCGAGCATTCTACCACTGAACCACCGACGCTTGTGAGCAGGGCCCGCCTGGGCGCGCTAAGAGTGGGTGCACAGCATGCGCTGAAACGGTTAGGCAGCTTGGCGCTCACTAGCCCAACCACACAACCAGTTTTTGGAGTCAGAGTGAAGTATAAAACTTACAGTAAGTAAGGATATAGAGTAGAGTTGGAGGCAAAATTTCAAGAGACCAACCCAACAGTTCAAGCCTTGTAGTAGTTCTTGAATTTCTTTCAAAAATCAATTCCAAAGTATTGAAACAAATTTTCTGTTAAAGTGCGATTTTCCTAGTAAACCATCGTAAAAAACACGGCAAAATCTATACAAGAAGGACTTTGCTGGCATGCCTTGGCAACCAGTTAATCATTTTCAATCAATTTAAATAATTTCCTGATTTTGTTTTTCGAAAAATTTCTTAGACGCTCCCTGTCAACCGAGATTTTTGAGAAATCGCACATTTTACATTTTGAGAATGCCTGCTCTCAGAAATCCTAGCTCTATCCAGAACTTTGGCGTCTTTCCCGTTGTGTGCTGTTTTCTTTTCTGGTTTCCTTTTTATGCGCTTTTGCTGCCCATTTCTTTCTATTCCCCAATTACGCAAAACCCGTCGAAACCCAATCCGCGCATTTCCATTTCCAAAAAACATCCAACACCAAAGGCATCGAGGATCGAAATTTGAGACCTCCGATGGAGGCCCCGACACCCCCCGGACCTGCGTGATCTATTCGGCGCCTTTTTTTGAAAAGAGGAAAGGGGCTCGAATTCTCCTATCTTCTCGTTTTTTTTGCCTGGATTCCGATTGTGTTGGGGCTAGACATCGAGCGGCGGCGGTTCAAACACTTATCTGGGAATTTTAGAGCCGTTTTGGCAACTTTTTAGAAGACCACCAGCGACGTTTCTGGAATGTGACGTTTTTCCCTGGGGGTTCGGTTTCTGTCAATTGCAGTCGCGTGTGCCTGCTAAATCATGGACCGCGCTTTAAAGGGGCTAGCAAGCGTCTAAATCGACCCCAAAGTATGAATAAGTCTTGACAACTACACCACACGCCTGGTAATATGCGCTAATTTCAATTCAGTTCCAATTTTCCAGCAGGGTGCATTTCAGTTTTTGATGCCAACTTGAGTTTATTAAAGAGCCTGACAAGGAACGGCTATAGTTTACGGTATCCTGTTTTTTAATGTAATTTAGCCGCGCCCGTAACGCGTAACGCAATAGTTCAGAGCGTGCGTCGCCTCACAAGGAGACGTTTTTTAGTGCCCATGGAGTTTTGAAATGGGACCGAGCCTATTTTATGCAGAATTTTTTTTGCTGATCAAAGCATTCTTTTCAGAATCCGCGAAACAATCATATTTCAAAAGTTATGAAGCTTTAAAGTGTGAAAAATGCCCAAAATGGCCAACTTTTGCCATTTTTCGCCTTTTAAAGCATCATAACGTCTTGTTTTGGTCGTTTCGCAGATTCGGAAAACGAGGTTTTAATCAGCGCAAAATTCTGCATAAAATAGGCTTGGTCCCATTTCGAAACTCCGTGGACACTAAAAAACGTCTCCTTGTCAGTAGATTTTTTCGTAAACCCACAGATCCCCAAAATCCTTGGATTCTCCAAGGAAAAATCGTTCGATAAAACATCCAAATCCGCGTGTGGGCGTCTGTTGACGCATACTGAACGGTAAAATAGGATCAAAAGATAAATTATCAGTTTTGCGCGTTTTCAACTTTGCTTGGGTGGCTGTGGGAGTCCTTTGTTTCTTAATCCGTTAGTTTTCGCGAGGTTGGTAGATGTCAAGCCCTAGTACACGGAAACGGGCGATTTATAGGACCATTAAGCCAAGGAAACGGAGCTAAATTAGCATCTTAAGCACTTGGCCGCATTTGGCTCTACAACTCCATTTGGCTTTTATTTATAAAATGTAACTGGTTAGTTAGCTGCGACCGATCCGCAGCTTTTTCTTCCATTTTCTTGATTATTTTGCTTTCCAGCATTTCCGCTTTAGCTGTACCTTCTTCTTTCTTCTTGCTCTTCTTCCACCCCCACAACCACATCACATAAATTCTCCTCTCCAGCCATCCGTGGCTATCGTCCACGAAAATCGCTTCCTCCTCCTACCTCTTTCAATTTCCGTGGCCACCCCCAGACTTGGCGCTCAATAAATTAGCCCTGAAAAAGGGTCCAAGAGATCGGGGAACGAGTTTTGTTCCCCTTTGACCTCCTGGGGAACGCCTCCTCCGGATTTGCTTCTTCTAAAGGCTCTGCAAATTCCCTGGAGGGTCTAACCTTGCGACCGCAGGGTCCGGTTTTGAGTTTTGACACCTCGCTTTGGGAAGATTTTGAGGGTTGACACCGGGTCAAGGAGTCCAAAACGTTCAGACGGGGGGTCAGAGCGCGATTTGAAAATCAGAAAGCTGCAGAAAAATAGGATAATCAATCCCGAAAAATCGCAGTTTCCTGATAGTAGTTCTTTGTAAGCTTTTTAGGCCCGTTTTACGATGGGTTTTTTCGGTATTGCGGTAGTTTGCGATTTGCGGTAATATAAAAACCTTATAAAGTTATTATAGTTCAGAAAGGTATATCCAGTTAAGCCAATGAAACGACCACATTTTCACGTGTGTTTTCGCTCTCTATCTCTCTCTCTCTCTGTCTCTCTCTCGCTCTCTCTCGTTCTCTCTCTCGCTCTTTCTCTCCCTCGCTCATCTCTTCTGTTACAGGTACGGTCCGAAACTCATAACGGCCTGAGGTCAAAGTAAAATCCGGAAATTTTATGCAACGAAACGTGCGTCTTTACCCGACTTCATCCTCGTGCCCTCACCGTCACGAGTCCATCCGAACACTTCCGGTTTCAACGTTTTTTTAGCAGAGATCATATTTTGTTTTGTTTTCCGGTGCCGAAAATTCATGAAGTGAACGCGCGCGCACACCCCATCGGTCTCTGGAGGGACTTGTCAGGGGGGGTTTGACGGGTTTTGGGTAGGATGTGCGGAGGCTGAGGCTCAGCCGAATGCCCTGGGGGGAATTTGGGTAGTGTTCACGAGTTATTCAGCTGGTTCTTGACTTATCTAGCCTTAGATTAAACTAGATCTTATACCTTTTGACGCATTTTAAACGGCTAACCGGATTAACCGCTTTCCTACTCTCTTTTTGTTTTTTTACCGCTTGTCTCTCGCATTACTCTCTATCCGCTCTCTCTCTCCTTCTCTCTCTCTCGCTCTCTCTCTCTCTCTCTCCTATCTTAGCCTTCCAAGTGCCTCGAAGCTCTCCTACCTTTCATTTTCGGCTTAAATCCGAATCTCTTCTCGAACCCTCTTCCACTTCTCCAGCCTCAGAATCGAACCCACCGCGAATCCAAGCGATATACCCCACGGGAATACCCCAGCTTTTCCCCCAAACAACGCCATCACACCCTGCTCTTGGGGCTCAAAGCACGGCTGCCTCTATTTTTTTGAGCCTTAAAAGCCCTTTTCTTCTTCTATCCCTCTGGAGTTAACTCCAACTTCACACCCACCCCACCCGTTCTCCTGCCCAGATTGACACCCGCGGGCTTCACATCCGTTCTCTCTGTCGGGCTTTCTCTCTCTCTCTCGCTCTCCCTCTCTCTCTCTCGCTCTCTCTCTCTCTCTCTTCATGTAAAGGCAAAGGGTCAGAAGACTATACGAACGCCTCCGGTTTTGACGAATGGGAGGGGCCGTTCGTTTGTCAAGGGAACTGGTTAAAAGTTGCCATGCCCGGGGGTGGATACTTCAGTTTTGACCACTTGGAACTTCAGATTTTGCTCCCGTCCTGGTTTCCGGACAGCTCCGTCGGTATTTTAACAATTTTTTTATGACTTAGCCTAAGAGTGTCCTATATAGTCCCGATCAGACTTTCAGGCAATTTGACCAAAACTGTAACCTTAAAGTTTTAAAAAATGCACAATCACAGGTAAGTGACAAGATTATTCCGATCCGCTTCACTTTCCCGAATCATCCCCCCAGAAAGCAAAAAGAATTGCGTCGGCCGGGAATCGAACCCGGGTCGCCCGCGTGGCAGGCGAGCATTCTACCACTGAACCACCGACGCTTGGGGACCCCGGCCCGCCGGGGCGCGCTAAGAGTGATGGGTGCCAAACAGAGATGCACTGAAACCGTAAGGCAGAAGCTCAATGATAGCCCCACCACAAAACCAGTTTTTGGGGTCAGGGGAGTATAAAACTTACAGTAAGTCTCATGGAGTATATATAGTCTATAGCGTTAGAGGTAGAATCTCAAGAGACCAACCTAACAGTTCAAGCCTTGTGGTAGTTTACCCCTGTGAATTTGAAAATTCAAACATACCCGATTTTGGACCTATTAAGGTATTCAACAAATTGACAAGAGACAAAAAAATTCTGTTGCGATTCCAGATCACTGTCTAAATCACAAACGATCATTTTCCTTGACCAGGTGCCGCTCAGTGACATTTCCTTGTTTATGACCATCAGAGACAGCTGCCGGCACTTTCATGACCTCCTATTTGTCCATTTCCCACCATTTTTCTTGATTGACATGTTTTGGTAGCTTTTTTGGGTTCTCTATCTCTTCTAACGAATTTATAAAAATTGTCGGAAACAAATTGTCCGTTTTTCAGAAACAATGTCAGCACGAGCAGCGATGCGGGCCGTATCTCCGGCCCTTGACGAAGTTGTCGATATGGTGGAACCTCTCGATACGATGCACAACAATCTTGCCCTCTCTTCGGCCACTTGTGGCATGGAGCACCAGGTACGTTATTCAAAAAAACTCCATGTCAGCTTTCTCTCCAGTCTGGATTGGTCAAAAATTAATACGAATTTCTAGTTTTCTACTTTTTTTTTCTTTTCTGAATTTCTAATCCTGGCGCCTCGAATAATCTCTGCCAGCCTAAATTAGAAGTGTTTAGGAGGTTTAAATCGGGAGCACAAATTTTCTGTGCTAGCTGGCCCGGATTGTTTTCAGACTTTCAAGCGTTTGCGTAAAAAAAATCTACTTGATAGCCTTAAAAAAACAAAAATTCTGGTTTTTGTGGTGTTTGGATACACTTAATTTTTTAGGTGAATCCCAGGAGATGCTATATTACCCTCTTACAAGGGAAGGGCACGTGGACGAAGTGGAATTTCGGAAAACGCTCGCGGCTACCCCCGGGTAATCGACTATGGGGAACACGATGCCGTTGTCCGATTTTCCTGCGGAGGCCTGTGGACAGAGATACAGCACTTCCGGAAAATGCTGATTTACATGCGAAAAATTAGAATCCGGGGAAGCTTTATTAGGCTCGCCCATCAGTATGGAATCACCGGTTGAATGGCCGATTGGTAAGCAACTCGCTTGATAGGATGGTGACGAGGGTACGGACCCTCTCACGATTTTTTCCTTTTGCTTTTTGACTGGAAGTTTTTGCAAGTTTTTATTGCTATTTTTGTCGCGATAACTCCAAATTGTTAATTAATACGTTATCGCAGAGTAACCAAATCCAAAATATTTTCACAAACTTTATCAAATTTTCGCCTGATTGGGGGATGGCTACCCATTCTAGTGATTATTTTTTCATTTCCAATTTTTTGTGGGATAGCTAAATCTATGGTATTCATCGCTCAAAAAAGTTTTGTCGGAGTCACGTCACGGAAATTCTGGACTTGTGCAAAAACTCCAGTCAAAAAGCAAAACGAAAAAATCGTGAGAGGGTCCGTACCCCCGTCACCATCCTAGCAAGCGAGTTGCTTACCAATCGGCCATTCAACCGGTGATTCCATACAGATGGGCGAGCCTAATCAAGCTTCCCCGGATTCTAATTTTTCGCATGTAAATCAGCCTTTTCCGGAAGTGCTGTATCTCTGTCCACAGGCCTCCGCAGGAAAATCGGACAACGGCATCGTGTTCCCCATAGTCGAGGGTAGGCGCGAGCGTTTTCCGAAATTCCACTTCGTCCACGTGCCCTTCCCTTGTTAGCGTAGCTTTTCATTTCAGATCCAAACCGCCAACCGACCGGTCGTCCTCTGCGTCGCTCCCAAGCAATCCCAAGACCCCCAGCTCTGCGGTGACTGCAAACGATTGCAGAACGTCTCCATTAAACCGAAGAAATAGGATTTGACGAGGTGCCGCTAGCAGAAGCTTGACAACCGAAGCAGCCAGCTTCTCTCTCTCCCCTCTCCCTACCAATACTTTCCTCAGGGTCCCCCGATCAATTCCAGAACCTATTTCCGGTGCTTATGGCAATAATGGTATTTTCGTGTTTTGCGCATTAATGAAAGCCAAAAAATCAAAATTTGCAGTTTTTAGTTTTGCTGTATTTTGTAGTTTCTAGCTTGCAAAAAACACGTAATTTTAGCCACTAATGGGAGGCTGCCATCATTCCTCAAGTCGTCATTTTTTTGAGCAGCTCAGTTTTGTGCGCCGTCCCTTCAAGCGGCGACAAAACCTCCTATTAATGCGACTAATTTAGCAAAGCCACAAACTACCAAATTTCGCACAAAACGCTACACTATAATGCCCCTTTAGCGCCAAAATTCTATTTATTTTTCTACCGATTTTTTTCCTGTACGATACCCCTTGCCCCCTGCCTTTTGTACATAAACGTATTTGTCATTTCTGATATTTTCTCGCTACGATCACTTTATTGATCTCAAAGTATTGCTGCGAATAAAAAGTGAAACTTTAAGAATACCGTATGCAAGGTAAGCTTTCAATATACACCATTAAAAAACGAGCTGCTAGTAAAGCATTGTAGTGGCAAAGTACGTTTGGTATATTTGGTTAGAATCAGACGGTCAGATCAAGCGTGAATTTTGGAAAATTCGAGGAGATTTCAAAGGGCTAGTTGAGGCAATATTCAACAGGGTTTTTACATCACAAAACGAAAATCGGAATTGTTTTTGAAGTTACGAACCCGTAAGCGGAGGTGGTGAACCGAAATATAAGTGGAGCAATTCGGAATATGGGGGGTGAATGAGCGGGGAGGAGTGTAGCTACAGTGGGAGCAAGAGACAGGTGAAAAATCGAATTTGAAAAATGGCTAGCAGGTGAGAAGAAATTGCATTACTAAAAAGTAAGAAATTTAAAACTCGAAAAATTAGACATCCGACGAGATGGGCGGCAGCGGCTGAAAAAAAGAGGTTTTTGAAAATTTTACTTCTTGTTTTTTACCAGAGACGGGTGGATATTACGGTAGGAAACAACCAAAATTCAAAAAATTGCAGCCATGGGCTGGTTAGCAGACATCCGTTAGAACTTGCTAGAAAACTTATATTTTAAAACATTAAGACTGATGTTCATTTTCATAAACGAAAATAAGGCTTTTTTGAAAGGTGATAAAGTACATAATCTGACTTTTTTATGTAATATAGATTTTTTTCCTTTCTTAAAGGGTCAGGCCAGGCCATGCTGTGGATTTTACGGCCGCAGTTTATTTCCGCCGCAATCGATTACGCAATTTCATTGCGTAATCGATTAAAATCCTTTCCCAGTGGCCTTCCGTCCAAATACTCTTTTGTCTAGAGAGTTTTTCGAAATTGCAAAGCGCCGAAATTTAGGTTTGCTAAATGTTTAAGATCAATAAAGGAATCCAAAAGGGTCCACATGCTCAAAAATCCATAGAAGTACCTTGCGTGCCCCTTTAAACATCGAAAGATTTTACAAATAACGAAAAATACTGAAAAGTATAGCGACAACCCACCTTCATGGCCTTCCTGGTTAACGTGCCGTTTCCATTCCCGTCGTTATTCAACTGCTCGTCCATCGACATCCGCCCCGTACTCGACGGCGTCGGCGGCATCATTGGCGATTTTGGCGTACCAGATAGGCGAATTTTCGAGGCTGGAATTTTTCTTTTATCGTTTGTAACAAATGCCGATATAATTAAGGTTTTTGGGTTAAACTAATAAGGGCCAATTTTTAACTGAGGATCCGAGGGGGTAGAGCTGAATACAACTAATAGAAGAGAAATTATATGGATGAAGCGGTATATTTACGAGGTTCCCGCCGGCGGATCGGCCAGCTTCTTGTACCATGTGACCCTTTTCTGGGATTCTGAAGGGGGGATTTATACGATTTTTTGAGTTATAGGGGCTGTATTAGATAGATATGACTTTTTTAAAGGTATGGTAGATATGGGAAGGTTGTAATGATTTTAAAGGTTTAAAGGAATGAAAATTAAAGGTATAGCTTTCTTAACTTACTATCGAGTGAAGATTGACTATTATGTCGCTTCTGCGGTGAGTTAATCGGGCTGTGATTTTTGACGTAGCGCTTCAACTGCTCGACCTGGTCGGTCTTCATCACCCGGTCGAACATTTCGGCTGGTTTCTCGGCTTGCCTAAAGGTATCGTTTATATAGTATAGTTTGTTAAAGCTCTACCTTCTTTTAAAAACTATTATAAATCTAGGTATCCTCTAAAATCGTGAAACCCACTTGATGACAACCCCGGAAAGCGAGCTAAAGCTCTTCCTGGGCCCCGAATTGAAGTACTTCTGGAAGCCCTTCTTCAGCGTGTTCGACCTGAAATTGGTGTTCATCTTCTGAGTAATCCGCTGGCTATCGAAACTTAAGAACTTTTAAACTTATTAAGCTCTAACTATTATACTAATCTCTCGGCTTTCCAAATACCCGATTCGACGGAAAAAGCTGAACGTTGAACTGGAAAGTTATAAAAGGTACTAAATTATCTCCGTTACCTCAGATCTAACTCTATTAAGAGCATCAGAAAAACCAGGAATATCAAGATTTTCATACCCGGCCGTAATTATCGACGACTGCGACGTGAATGAGCTGTTATTCGGGTCCTCGGCAAACAGCTGCGCTCCGAGGCTTGTCGAGCTCGGCTTCTTCTCCTTCTCACCCAGCCCCGGGTTTGGTAGAGGTTCGACGGCACAATTGTAGATTGAGGCACCGGCTGGTAGTCGGGTGGTCTAAAGCGATAAGTTTATCATGTTTTATGCTTCTAACCATATCTTTTCATGCTTTATTTCTTTCTCATGCTCATTCTCATGCTCTTTTTTGATCCCGATAATGAATATGATCATCACATATATGCTAGGTTCTTAATTATCACGCGATGCCATCTTATAGCATATCGAGTCTTTATCATCTCATTCCTCTTCTCGCTCCTTTCTTTCGCATTTTATGATCTAAGTTTGATTCTTAATTAGCATCTGTGATTCCCTTCTGAATATCATCTGATTATCCACATAGTATCCTGATTTTCCGGATCCATACACTTATAAAGCCACTTACCGTCTGCCCAAACTTCCGATCAACATAGCCCTTGTGCTCCCGGAATCCCTCAATCAGGAAATTGTGAATATTCTTGTCCGCTTCGGCTCGAGTACCGTGCGCGTAGATGCAGTACTCCACAATGGATACCTGAAAAGTAAGTACATCATTTTATATCAGGTACCAGTTTATACAATTTTCTGTATCAGAAATCATCTGAATTCGTCCGAAAGGCTTCATACCTGCTCAACAATCAGCTCTCTCTCAACTCGTCGCAAAGCCTCCGCTCGTCGTCGTCAATGATGGCAGAACAAGCATCGCTGAAGAATACCTAAACACATTTTGTCTAGAGTAATCTCGCTGTTTTTACCTCGTAATTCTTCACTCCACCCATCACGGAGGCTTGAACGACGCCTTGGACGTCTCCGGCAAAGTTCCGAATGGAGAACAGGGGATTGTGAAGGACTTTTTGGGCCGATTCGATGAGGCGCTCGTTTTTGTTTTTCATGCCCTGAAAAGTAGAATTTTTAGGGGTATTTAGGGGTAATTTTTGCATTAGAAAATACCATTAAATTAAAGTAAGTAATTTTACGACTTTAATGTTGCAAATCAGCTTGGGATTTCGAGAAAATTAGCACAATTTTAGCCCTTTTTGTTAGAATTCTTTAAATGACTTTCATTAAATTAATTAATTTTAGGTAACTTCTAATTTAATGTTTAAAAACCATACCTGAACAGCCAGTGCTAGGGGTGAAATCTCTTCAGGAATCGGTTCGGCTTCAACATGCGAGAATCGTAACGCTGATGGCAGTGGCTCCTCAACATGGACAACCCTTCGCGTCACCCATGTCCTCAGCATTTCATTATCCTCCAACTCGGTCCATTTTGTCTCCTTTTTCCCGTGGATCCGTATATATTCAAAGGATTGAATATTGTAGTTCCTATAGTAATCCTTGATCGCCGGGTTGACGGCTTGGCCAATCGCCACGTCTCGAGGGATCGGGTCGACTTTGAAGATCTGATAAATGCAGGTCAATTCTTTCGGAGCTTTTCCAATATCGGGGGGGTCTTGGCGAAAAAAAAAATCGATTTTTTTGTTTTTAACACAACTTTTGAAGTTTTTAGATGAGCTAAAAACCTCGTAAAAACTTGATTTAGTTTTACCAGAAAAAAACAGAGTCTTTAGGAAAAGATTAATTTTTTTCTTATCTGGTTCCGGTAGAAAATTCTTGATTTTAGGTCATTTTCTAACCTGTAAATGCCTTCCATTCCCATTTTGCAAATGCGAACAATCGTCCATGGTCGTGTACGTCTCCGGATTGCCGTACATCTGCTTCATGCGTTGCAAGAAATCAGGGTGTCGCTCGAGCTGGTCGGACCGAAACACGAATTTCTTTCCATTCAGAAACGCGGGATATCCATTCCCGTAGAAGGCGACGAGGTAGAAGTAGAAGAAGGCGCGATTCTCTTTGCCGATCTTTTTGAAGAGGTCGGCTTGGTGGATGAGAAGCTCGGCCATTTTGTCGTAGTCATAATCCATCGAGTAGTAAACTTCTTGGAGCTGGCGGAGCATTTCGATCGAGTTTTCCCACATGTCGCCTGGAAACCGAAGCTTAGAAAAATCCATTTTGGCTCTACTTTGTCATAATCCGTCGAGATTAAATTTCTAAAGATTAAAAAATGTTCAGTGAGATTGAATATGTCGTAAAACCTGATTACTTTCAAAATTCGCTAACTCCGAATTTGAGCACCTTCTAGACGTTACAAAACCCCCAGAATAAAAAGCAGGAATACAAAAAATTGAACTTAAGTTTACAATGGTTCTTTGGCATTATCGGGGGAAGGGGAAGCGAATTGGTTGTAAAAGTCTATAGATGCCCACTTTCGCTATTTTATATTTGCAAATTTAGATCCCAAGAATTGGTCGCCCACGGTAGCGAAAAATAATGGTCCGCTAAAGTTTTTATAAAACTACGCGACTTATTTTAAGGCTCTTCGACATTTCAAAAAACGTTAAATAATAAAGAAAATCCGGTAAGCTAATACCAACCTCTCGAAAACAAGTCCGCAATGTTCAGCGACAAATTCTCCTTCAACTGCCGCTCCGTAGCACAATGTCGATTCAACGAGTTCTTCACCA